AAAGTGATCGAATTGGAGAATGATGTCTGAATCAAAGTTGTAGTCAGATGGGTTAGCTTTCCAACGCATTTTGAATCGCCTCAATCGAATATCGGAATACAAAGTTATGATAAAAATATTGAAAAAAGGTGCAGCTGCCTGTTTAAAATAAGAAATTTCGTTACATAATTCGTTAAAACAACAAATTCCATTAGTTTTTCCGTTAAAAAAATAAATTCTATTAAATATGCACTTTTTATATATAGATATATGACATTATTCACTTAGATGGTCTAGAGAAAAAGCAAAATTTTCAACCAATTAATTGTTGGCCATAATGCAAATGTCAACAATCGTGTAATAAATGAGTACAGGCATAATCAAAATCAATTATGCTATATGTACATTATTTTTTATATTGTAACGCGTAGAAACACATCATTACACCGTTTAAAAAAACACTTTTTTCCTTTCGCAATTTTTTTTGAAAAGAATGAAATGTCAAATACAATGTAAGCTATTGAGTTACACTAATCTTATTCTAATCAAAGACGGGACCTTTGACGCGTATCTGCCAGCTGTCCGGCCATGGATTTCTCGCTGGACCCCTCGTAACACACGACACTCACTGTGCACAACATCCATCTCATTCCACACGGAAATTAAACGCTCTACTGTTTGCAGCGCGTAAAAAAAATATTCACTCATAGAGCCCCGAAAGCTTCCGGATCAATGAAAAAGGAAGTAAATAATTTCAACAGAAAAAGTGAAAGGAAAAACCCATAGAGTTTTATAATTAGGGATCAAAGGGGGGAAAATTTAGGTGATGACGAAGAGTGGGGTATTTGAAGGGGATCCAAGTATGGTAGCCAAAGCGATGGAGTTGAAGAGGGAATTGCAGAAGTTGGTGAAGGCAATTGTAGATGAGGATGATGTTAATGTAGGGGCAATTGATAGAGCCCAGCAAATGTTGTGTGCCTTGAAGGAATTGAAGGTTAAAAAATCAATATCCTCCTCGAAGATTCATCCTCATCATCATGATACAATTTCAGAGAAGATTCCTGAGGAGTTTAAGTGTCCACTTTCCAAGGAACTAATGAGAGATCCGGTTATTGTTGCATCTGGTCAGGTACGTAATTTTATTTTCACATTTCAGATTTATTTTTGAAATATTTTTATGATTTGTTAATTGAATTGACGATTATGTGAGTGACATTATTATGTTTTGGTCACTGAATTATGAGCTGGGTTTGTTGCCCCAAATTGAATTTGATATTTATAACATTTTTCCCCCCTTCTTCTGGAGGTTTCTGGAAACTAAAACATAACATTATCAGGAGAAGATACATTTCTGTTTTCATTTTTGAAAAATTGTATGGAATGAAGTAGATAATATGATGAATTAAATGGAATTTCGGAATAGGGATTCTTTATCGATCTATGTTTATGTAAATTAAATGTCTGTTATCAAAAGATTTTTTTTCTTCTGCATTTTATTTTGGTTTTAGAGCTCAGAAATCTCTAAATGGTCTGTATAATATTTCTGGAATTTTGTGTTTTCACCCATTGATGTGATTTTTAACCAATTTCATACCAGTTGATTAGCATAATGCATCTTTCGTTTCCTATCTCAAGATTTGTTTTTGAGGGGCATTATGAACATTTTTTGAACAAATTTGCAGACTTATGATGGGCCATTTATTCTAAAATGGTTGAAAGCTGGGAACAGGACATGCCCGCGAACTCAACAAGTACTCTCTCACACTAATCTTACACCTAACCACTTGATTCGGGAAATGATATTACAATGGTGCAAAAATCACGGGATTGAATTGCTGGAACCTGTCCAGTATTCCGATGAGGATGTATTAACTGAAGCAGATCGAGACCATTTCCTTTCTCTGCTTAGGAAAATGTCGTCAACATTATCTGTTCAAAAGGAAGCTGCAAAAGAGTTGCGGCAGTTGACCAAAACAATGCCATCGTTCCGGGCACTTTTTGGCGAATCTCTTGATGCCATACCTCAGTTGCTCTCTCCACTCGCTGAAAGCAGGTCAAGAAACAATGTTCATCTGGACCTGCAAGAAGATTTAATAACAACACTTTTGAATATTTCAATTCATGACAACAATAAAAAGCTTGTTGCAGAAACACCAATTGTTCTTCCATTTCTTATGGATGCATTAAGACTGGGAACAATAGAAACAAGGAGCAATGCAGCTGCCACCCTTTTCTCGTTATCAGCTCTTGATTCGAATAAGGCCCTCATTGGAAAATCAGGCGCCTTGAAACCCCTCATTGATCTATTAGACGAGGGACACCCTTTAGCAATAAAGGATGTTGCTTCAGCTATCTTTAATCTATGCATAATTCATGAAAATAAGTCGAGGGCTGTTCGAGATGGTGCAGTGAGAGTGATCTTAAAAAAGATCATGAATGAAATGCATGTTGACGAGTTACTGTCCATCCTAGCTATGCTTTCGACTAATCAAAAGGCTATTGAGGAAATGGGAGAGCTTGGGGCCGTCCCATGCTTGCTTTGTATAATACGAGAGACTTCTTGTTCTCGCAACAAGGAGAATTGCGTTGCGATCCTTTATACCATTTGTTATAGTGATCCATCCAAATGGAAGGAGATGAGGGTGGAAGAGAGTACTTATGGTACAATCTCTCAGCTTGCTCAAAATGGTACTTCCAGGGCCAAGAGAAAGGCTAGTGGTATTCTTGACAGGCTGAATAGGGCCGTCAATCTTACACATACGGCATGATGGGGTAGTCTTGAGCACATATTCTGTAAATTCTGCATAGTTTTCCCGTCACAAGCATTTAGGTATATTATGATCATTTAAACCTTCATTCTGTTTATTCTACTATCTCAGCAGGGTTTGGATCCCAGGTTTATGGCCAATGGTTACTGTGAATACTTGCCAATAAGATTCTCGGTAAAATAGTTGAATAATGAGTAGACAGCTTTTTTTATACGTGAAAGTCTGTCATCGGGTCTTTTTGCTACCTATAATGCCTAGTTTTTGTTGCATTATTATTTAGTCAAATAATTTTGCACATTGCTTTGCTTGTTGTGTTGCTTGAGTTTTACTTTAACTATTAAATGGACGTCTTCAATTTGTTCGCAGCTACGTATTCTGATCCTAACCCAATCCCTTCTCTTTCTGCAAAATGTGCATTGGCATCAAAGCATTGATTAAAGAGTTAGGATTGAGGGAATTGGTTGTGATCTTCATTGAACCTTGCAATCATTTTATGTGATATTTTTAGTATAACACTGGGATTTGATATCAGAATGAGGCCAATAAATTTGTCATTGATGATTGTAGGAGTGGTAGCAGATAGGTTTAGGAAAGGCAATGCAACGATCATTTATTGGCTTGTTATGAATGGTCTTGTGGTCCATCCAACATGATTGATGATACTCTTATCTTTCTTGTGAACCTCTTTATTGCTGAACTTGAATCTTGTTTTACCTGTTGAAAATACCTCTCGTGTCAATCATTTTCGTTATAGTACCAGCTTAGTAGTTGTGTATTTATATGGTCAGGAGAATTCTACCGTTTGATTTGGTGTTACAAAATGAGGAGTCGATATTTTTGTGATTTCAGACACGTGCAACCTTGTGCTTCCTCGAGCCTTCTCCATTCAAATAGAATGGCATTTTCTTATCTGTACAAAAAGACAACAGTCTAGCCCTTTCACCAACCCACAAGACTGATAAATGATGTCTAAATATAGTCTTCAGTGAGTCGAGGTGATTCTATCATGAGTAATACTATTTATCATCATGACGATGGAATGTCGTTGATGTGTCAACTCATCCCTCACATTTATCTCTCGCTTCTCTCCCCCGCTCTCATAAAAATTGAACCGTCAAATCCAATTATTCCACATAGATTGCTACATCACCGATATTTCAATAACACTATTCTTTTGTCATTCTATGGTCCCCTTTCTTCCTTAAGTCAATTGCCATATTAATTTTCTGTAATAGAGCTGCATTTTGCGTAAATTTACTTCCAAGTATGGAAGGAGTTAGTTAAGGCCTACCATCCGGTAGTTCGTTCGTTACAATTCCATTTCCGCTGCTCTTGTTCACAAATCCTGACTCACCTGAACAACTTATGGCTGAAGAGACTGGATACAAAGCCTTAGTCCTGCTTTGCCCAACGACGACACTGTGCGTGTTGCTACCTTTCCTGCGAGGAATTCTTTTGTGAGACGAGGCATTTTGAAGTGTAAGCCTTAGTCACGACGAACTCAAAAAATAAGTAAAAACCTTTAAATGATAAAAATATATACCAGTAAAAAAAAAATGAAACAATTTTGAAAATTGATAATAGGACAATCTAAGGTATTAACTTGCATACAAACATCAAATAACTCAAAATAAGTGTTTTTCTTTTCATCAATATGTATTATAGTTGTGTTGAATTTGATGTAATAATTGTAATAAATGTCGTGTATTTTCATTATGTTAATAATTGATTGGCTCTTTCAAAATAGGTGCTGCTTCTGAATAACTTTTGTTGGGACATGCTACATGTACGTAAGTGGGTCTCATCCTATGTGAGGGTGTGAACACCCCTATGTACCAAAAATTATGTACACTAAGAATTATTCGTTTTTATTATAGCTGAGTTGATTTTTGATTTAATTATAAATGATTCGAAGTGACGCCTTAAAGCTGGAGAAAATGCTTTTAAAAAATGGTTTGACAATTAAAAAAATGATTTTTAAATTACTAGTGTCCAGCTTTTATAGAGTAGACTAGAGTGTCAACGCGCCGAGTTGAACCTCGAAGTTTGGGCTCGACTCGAGTAAAAATGATTTGGACTTTCTTGATCCGATCTGAGTAAAAGTTCGACCAAAAAATTTAGGTTGGTCCCGAGTCGACAAAGCTTTTTTTTTTTTTTTTCCTCTTCTTCTTCTACTTCTTCTTCTTTTTTTAACAGTAAAACTAGCTGCTAGGCAGCAGTCAGTCTTTATTTTTATTTTTAAGTTTTGCAAATTCCCTTTTTTAAGGTTCGGCTCAACTCGAAAATGACCCATGTGGCTCCACGGGTCGCCCGGGCCGATGTGCCACATTGACCTCCCTAGAGTGGACAGTTAAAAAATAGATTTCATATTTGAAGGTTTGAAAATGTTGCTAGAATATTATTTTGTTATAAAAATAGAGCAAATATGTACATTTGTGAGGACAAATATTAGTTTTTAAACACAAGTACTATTCTAATGCATATCGTAAGAACTTGTACGAGGACAAGGGCTTGTACGTTGAGAAATAAAATGGATCGAGATAATATACATGATACAATATGAAGTATATGATCGCAAACAAAAAACAAAATTAAAAAAAAAAGAATTAAATGGTAGAGGAACAGATTATTTTATTCAATTAACTAATATGAAGAAAACAAATACAATAACTGTGTCTACACAGTTATTATATATTTCAATAATACAAAACTTGTCAAAAGAATCTAATATTTATAGGGGTGCATACCAAATTATAGAAATACCAGAAAGATAGAAACAAGATAAAATATCACGTAAAATAAAGGAAACAATATTTCCCGAATAAAAACACGTGGAAAGAAGGAAAAAATATTTTTTAAATTTAACCTAATTTTGGTAAAAAAAAAACCCCCCAATAATTTCTACATTGATACAAATTCCGATGCAACAAACGAAATTCCAAAATTTTTTCACCTAAAAAATAAATCCAATTGCAACGAAAAATTTGAACTCTTCGACAAGATCCAAACTTTCTTCAACACAAAAATACTCCACCCCCTTCCACGGTATCCAACACGGATACATGAACCTAAATATCAGGTTCCCCAAAATTCATAAAGAATTAGAAATCGCCAAACAGTGTCGAAGCACACCCTGTAACAGAATCAACTCCCATTATTTTCATAGAAGGCCTTCGACTAATCTCAACACTTCAAAAAAAAAAAAAAGAGGCTAAAAGCTCATGCAATTGAATCAACATCCACATACATATCTCCACAAGTCTATCACTAGCAATTGAATACAATGGAATTACAAGTAATGGTGGTAAAATAGAATTACCCATATCCTCCAAACTCGATTGAATAGTATTTTTCAATATGAACGCTGAACCAAATCTCAAAAGTATAGTACGAAATTGAATCTCCACCACGGTAATAAATTTGTGCTGAATTTTCTTCACAAATTTTGCCCGACCTTACAAGATGTATGGTTGGGACCTCTTTCGTTCCTCCAATACAATACAAACACCATTTCGAACCATCAAAACTCCACTTCCTCCAAAGAATGTGTACCCTTTTGAATCAAGAGTATTCAACGAAATGAGATTTTTCTTCAAGTCTAGAATATGTCGAATGTGATCAAGTGTTTTATATGTTTCATCTACTAGCTTCAATCTGACTCCACCAATACCAGCTATTTGACAATCTTCGTTGTTATCCATGACAACACATGTCACTCTTTCATATGTTTCATACAAATCCCAATTGAGACACATATGGAATGTATAAGCGTATCCAAAATCCACTTCTTGTCAGGCTTGGATTCCATGTAAAAAATGGTCAAAATATCTCCATCATTCAAATAGTTTTCGACTATTTTGGTTTCGTATGAAGTATTTGATTGCTTCCCATGATTTTCTGTCAAATTATCTTTGTTCTACAATTTATCGCAATCCCTCTTAATGTGTCAATTATTCTTGCAATAATAACAAACCCAATTACTGAAATTTAATCTCGACTTGCCACTTCTTCGATTACCCTGAACAACAATGCCTTCTCCATCTCAGCCTTAAATCCAACCAGGTGTTTCATCTTTTCTTTTAAAAACAAGGCATCATATGTATCTTCAATGGTAAGAGTATCATGATTATACAAGACCGTATCTTTAGATGAAGTAAACAAAGCAGACAACGAATACAAAAGGATTAAGGCCAAATTTTCTTCATCATATTTTACCTCTAAAGTTTCCAAATCAGTGACGATATCTTTAAATACAACCATATGAACTTCCAAATACCACTTTTTGCCATGCGATGAGAATACAACCTTTGCTTCAGATGCAATTTGCTTGTCAAACTTTTAGTCATGCACAATTGCTCATACTTCAACCACAATGCAGTTGTTGTTTTCTCCTTTAAAACGTCCTGAAAATTATTGTTAGAGAGATGAAGATGGATTTGTGAAAATGTCTTCTGATCGTTTTGTTGTTTCTCCTCTGTCGTCCAAGTTGTGGGTATTTTGCCAAATCCCAACAACTCATCATCTAAATCCATCTATGCGAGTACAAATCGCATCTTCACTTGCCACAACGATAATCTTGTATTGCGATCTAAGAGCTGGAATTCATATTTCATGGCTGTCATTAATAACAAAAAACCTCGAACAAATTACAACCAATAGCTCTGATACCATTTCATGAAAAATAAAACAGATCAAGGTAACATATATGAAATGATATGAAATATATAATTGTAAACAAACAACAAAATAAAAGACAAGTAATTAATTGGTAGATGAACGAAATATTTTATTCAATTGA